TACACTGCTCAGCTTGTTTCCACCTCTAATGAGAACTGAGCAACTTTGGGCTTCTCCAGATAGAACTCAAATGGACACGGGAAGGTTTTTTAGTGCAGGTGGCTGTTTATGCACCATACCAGAAAGGTACGTGCATGAGGGATCCGAAGATTATTTTAGTCCAGCAAAGAAAATGGACAAAATAGCATTAGGTCTGAAATAGCACATTCCGGCTGGCTCTTAACAAACAATTCTGCTAAGGGCTGTGCTGAGAAACAGTTGTGAATAATGGAAACGCCGCCGCTGCTGTTCAGGTCGCAGTTTCCTGTTAAAGCTTACAACAGGGCGAGAATGGAACAAAATGGAGAAAGTTTCTAAAACACCCCAGAAGAGCCACTTCAAAATGTTATTTACACATATTTGGTGCTCATGTAACCTGCTGCACCAACAAAGCAACCAACGATGCTGGGAAACATGTTTTGAACCAGCGTCTAATATGATTCAGGCTGATTTTTCATATTAGTGTCTTGTCCTTGGTGATTTTTTTTCCAGTTCGACCGTTCAACTTGTTTACAAAAAAACGCTGGCGTACGAACGGGGAACCCCATGGGGAAGAAATCTGTGGGCTAAAGCAGCGAGATGTCTGCTGTTAGCGATTGCAAATCAGCTAATAAAAGGTTTTTAAAAAGATCGATACAGGGCCAGAAAAAGGTTATTTGTTAGAAGTAAAACATTTTTGAGTTCCTAGTTATTATGTAAAGAATACAACTCTTAAACGGTTTATAAACGTTTCGGGCTGTTTTCATAGAATGAATAGGAGTTAACTTCCAAACAAGGGCAAAAATACAAGCAAACAAACTAAACAACCTCTTGTGGGCTTTGTTGATTCTGGAGAATTAAGGACTCAGCTGCAGTCAAACATCTGCCCGAGAGATTAGTCAATAATACTCAGGTCTGTGTGTCCAGAACACTGAGGAGGAGGGGCAAGGGAGAGGAAATCAGTCCTCTTTTTCATAGGGAACACTGTACTTTCGTTTATTATGAAATAAATCTCATTTAAATAGGAAGCATCACCACATTATTCATTCCCTTGGCAGCAGAGCTCTACTGTCGATGAGATCTACAGACATAGATTTTCAGTAGCACTATCTCACCCTACCTGCCCAGAAATCTGCTGTTTCTGTGGGCAGCTCCTTGAACACGGAATTTGTGGGCAAACTGGGGGATGGAACAAAAAGAAAAAAATTGCCTTCACACCTTGTTCACTGTTCTTTTGCCCATTGCAGCTTGGGTGCACACAGACTGAAAAAAAACCAACCAACAAATAAACAAACCCTACAATCTTTTTTTTTGAAGTTATATGATACGAGGAAAGCAGAATTCCCACACTACAGACCTATGTATTAGGACTTCTCCAGACATCACAGGAGCTGTCGAAAACAACGAGGCTGCCTTTCAGTTCCCTCATGCATTTTGAGAGGGGGAAGGGGAAATCTAAAAATAAAAGTCTTAACGAGAGCGGTCTTAATAGATAGTGTCACAGGTACTTCCTCTTAAAGACCTAGATAAGGCAGAAAAACTCTTTCTAGCAGAAAAAGAGTTTCAGAAAAAACTCCCCAGCACTTCACCTGTACCAGGGTACCACAAGGACTGGCTCGGCCTTTGTATTCTAGCATTGCCTTCGTTAGATTTTTTTTCTACCTGGATGCATAAACAAAGGTCGAAAACAAATCAAGACAGAACATTGTTTGTCATATTTGAAGGTGAAAACGGGAAATAAGTGTGTCTGGTTATGCCTTCCCACCCACACATTTCTTTGAGATACAACAGCTACACCAAAGATTTTTTTTTCTTTCAAAAATAAAATGACAGACAGAAGGTGGGCTTTTTTTTTTTTTTCTCCCTGTTTTTAAATTACATGAAAGATGAGATACCTGCTTATCTGGAAAGGTGCTGAGTATCAGACTTTGTAAAATAAGCATATCACAAGTGAGCAACAGGGAAAGGAAATGTATTTTTACTTGGCTTTGTAATCCTGTTTCCTATCTCTCTGTGTCCCACCTCCTTTCTGTCAGCTTCTTTAAATATTCATTCGACTTCAACAAATACATCAACAGTCATTCTAGTTAATGGCTCCATGGCTCCAAGTAAAGCTCCTACTGTACACAATTAAAAGGCTCAAGCACAGGTTTTCGAGCAGAAACAAGAAAAAAAAATACAGCTGATGTTTCTGATAGTTTAGGGGGGAAAAAAAATAAGAAAGAGAAAAGCAGGGAAAAGCAACCAAATTCTGAAGCGCTTCTCCAGAAGCAGAAAACACTGAAACCTACTCAAGTTCTTTTACGTGACATTGAAAAACCAGGAGATAAGCACGTAAACCCGTCCTCCTCCATCACAATTAGAGACCAACACTCACTAATAGCCAATCCTCTACGAAAACCACTGGAAAACAGAGTGAGGATGCTCACGTAGTGCATGTATAGTGTTCATTTAAAGATGTGTATATAAAGACTTTTGATGCATGAAAAGCAAGCTGACCAATATTCCCGGGTTTGGGACCCATCTGTTCTGTGATGGAGCTGCCCATAGAAAAATCAGCTAAATTATGAAAAATTTCAGATAGTAAAATTGACAGTTTGGTGTTCTTTTTAAAGCATATATATTTTCAGGTGTCATAATACGTCTTTTTAACTCTCTCCACGATCTTACAACTTAGAGAATCAAAGTCTGGATTTCCCCAGCCACTGTTTCATGCATCTTAATGTATCTCAGGTAGTTTAAGCTGTTTTAAAAATTGGTTAAAGGGTCTAAACTCTGCACACTACAATGTGTAAACTATTTTTTTGCAGAAATGCCTCTTTATTTTTCTTTATGACAGAGTAAGATACTATCAGGACAGATGTCTGTGGATACTGGGCAGTGGTAGGAAGGTTTTCTCCTACTGAAATATCATCAGCATTCGGAGAAAATTTTTACCTGTTCAGAATGAAAGTTTGATTTCCCCTGTTTGCTTAAATGTAACGTCATGCTGGTGGCTTTTCAGAAGAAGCCAGTTCAAATAACATCATTTGTTGCAAATCATGATATGCAAGATCTCATCAAGCCAGAAGAAAGGAGAAAGAAAATTGCTAAGAAAAACAAAATTGTAGTAATATTAGCATATAGGACTAATGTTTCCATGTGAAACTTCAGATAAAAAGTGAATCCTCAATTTCTCTTTGTTCGTTTTATCAGAAGACAATTATAAAAGTTTTCTCTATAAATATCTCAACTTAAAAATATCATTTTGCATAACTACAGAATCCATACCCTTCTTCCTTTCCTGGCTGCCAATGCTCATGCCACACCACGCTACAATTATCCCACCTCAAGCCTTTTTTTTTTTCTTTTTGTATTTTCCAATTTATACTACTCTTTCAATGATAAGAAATAATTTTCAGTTAGGCATCCAGAAGCCAAGGTCATCATGAGCAAATTCTGCCCTCAACCAAAAGCAAAATGGAAGTGCAGAGCAGCACGTGCTGGAAAGTAAGGAAACACAGAGTGGCATGTAATTACCTCCAAGAAGCCTAAAATATGGGGAGAAAAATAATCAGCGGTATTATTTTGACAGTCCAACACGGTGGTTATTGCAGCTTTTAGTAATTGCTATTTAAGAAGTTACAGTCATTCAAATGGAATCAAGTTGAACAAGCACAAGTATGGGAATCACCACGGGCGCAGCTTCGTGCTACAGCTTTACAAGTTAGAAAAGAAAGAAAGAAGAAATAGTGAATTTTCCACTTCATCTCTAGATTCAGATGGTTTTCTCTTAATGAAACAAAGAAAAAGAGAGAAAGAGTTTTTCAAAGTTTTGCGTATGAATAGCATCTAGAAATGCCAGGAAAGTCCCTAATACCTGGCAATTTTTTGTGGGGGATTTTAAAACATCCCACTGTCAGAAGATGATTGTTTATTTTAAGTGCCTCTTCTACATAAATGCATTTTCCAGCTCTAAGAGAGGATTTTTATTTCTTCTTGGCTTTGTTAAATAGGTTGTCTGACTCCTTTCTGTTACGGGGCAATGTGTGCTATGGCCCTCCCATATTAGCCACGTAGGTGGAAGGTGGGAAAAATAACAGCAACAAGCAGATGAGACTATAGATGAGAATAAAAACTAATCAGAAAGAGGAGAGAATAGAACAAGTCCAGAACTGGAAACCACACAGGAAAAAGAAATGAACTGGGTTAATTCTAGTGAATGGCTGAAAACTGTCCGAGCGCTGAATAAAGGGCAGCTGAATGACTGATACGTGAACACTGACTAAAAGGGCTGAAGGATATTGGGTGCATCACCACGAAAGAAGCTGCTTGAGAGGCCTCAAACATTCCGATTCCATAAATATAGCTCAAACCAATATCAGTCCGTGTTGTGCCCAGTTCTCAGTCACGCGTCAGCAATTCTGCGCCTCGTTTGTGGCGGTGTAAAAATATAGACCTTTTGTGGTTCTTTGGCTTGGAATTGCTTCTTCATCTTATGTATTATTAGTTGTCAAAGGAGAAAAAAAAATGGTCATAGATGCTAAAATTGAGGTCTTCTGCTTTATGCCGAGGAAGCTTTTCTGCTTGTGTCATTACCGTGTTGACATGCTCACATTTATTTATTTATTTTGCTCGCACAAGTGCTTCTTGCTAACAGTAATATCCTATTGAAAATGGAAGACATGATAAAATCAAGTGCAGAACAGGCTGACAGGAAAAAGCCCTTTCAAACCAGCCGTGTTAGCAGTGGAGCAATTTGATCTTCGATTGATGCGCATCTCAGAGTTGTATCTTTACAATCTCCGAATATTTTATGTCAATGGCACTAACTGACGCTGCAGTGCGAGGCTGAACGAGCTCTACAAAAGGTCGAGAACGGTCAGGGAGCCTTTTCCACCCACACCGAGCCGTAGCTCAGAGACACTGAAGCACGCTGCGATTTTTCAGAGGGGCAACCCGAATTCTGCATTTTTCAAAGCTGCTTTTACTTGTGCTTGCAGGGCAAATATCACGGTAATCCCATGCATATAGCAGTGATCATCTCCAACTGTTTAAGAGAAGAAAGAAGAATATTGGCTGCAGCTAGCATGCCGGTACAGGTAACGAATTACATTTCATTAATCTCCTCCATGTTAATCTGCTCACATGCTTTTAGGACCAAATCCCATCCTCCTCATTCCACTGGAGTGATCTGTGTGCACCAGGGGTTGCCAAACGTTGCCCTTTAAATTCACGTTTGTACTTCATTAGGGGCTCTGCTGCTGGAAATATTGCTGTGAGTGACTTCTATGTCACAATTAATCTTCAAAGACTTTAATCTGTGGGAAAGGCTTTAAAGAGATTATTCTCTTCAGAACAGATGTGTATATTTTAAATTACGCAATGCATTAATTCATATTAATTTTGCAATGCAAAAGACATTCCATTTGATAAGTTGCAAAGGCATTGATAATTTTTAATGTTGTTTGAAGAAAGACACTTTGAAATTCCATATGAAGCCTATTTTGGAGAGTTTGTTGTACGGTTAAATCCCAGATAGAATTTAAGTCACGTGAGTTCACCGGTGGATGTAATACATTCACCGATAAGAGTATTGTGACATGGGTCTTTTTCAGAAATCCAATAGTCTGTGTTTCAGTTCCTTTAATTTATGAGATGTTTAATGTTTGCAGTATAGCCACACCCTTTCAACTTTTGGACATCCAAGTTAAAGCCACGTATTTTCCAACTCTCTGGAACTAACCAGATGAGTCCGTTTACACCAGTCTCTGGCTGGTTGAAGACCAGCTTTGGAATCCCCTCTCTTTGCCAGAACTTGCGGTACAGCCGCTAGCGCCCGTTATTCTCACTCATCCACCCCTTATCTGTCCGACGTGTTCCAGGGGCCTCTGGAAAAGTCTCTGCAGAACTCCGTGGTTTCGGAACGCCAACGAAACGTAGAGCACAAAGTGTCGGCCATCAAGAACAGCGCCCAGGTATGTCGCTGCTTACACAGCCACGCGTGGCATACAGACACGCCTGAACTCTCTGTAAGCTGGGTAGCACAAATACTTTTGCTGACAAGCTGCACCAATATTTTTCCATTACTCTGAGAACCTCAGGCCAGACTGTCTACTCAGGGTGTAAGCTGGTTTTTACAGCTGCTCTGGGTTCCGAGTGAGAGCTACCTATTTTGAAGCTATCACCCTCAGCCCTGCGCAAGCTGAGCGCAGTAAGAACGTACCTACTCTCTCTAAAAAGCTCAGTTCAGTTAATTTTGTAGCTTCACCTCTTTTCGCGGGGTCAGGGGTAGCCTTCGCGACCTCCGAGTCGCATACCAAGATCTCCGTAAAGCCGAAGGCTACATGGTGAAATTACATGTTTTGGAGACGTGAAGGAAAGAAAACCAAGCGGGAGCCGGTGGTGACAATTCTCCAGGAGTTTCCCATACCATCGCAGGGCAGGGCTGAGCCAAAGCTTGTCGCCACATCCCACAGAGACCTTGAAAGCTCACTGAGAGAAGAGCTGCCCGCTCAGTTCAAGGCAGGATAAGGACTCAGATTGCCTGCAGCCTTTTTGGTATCATCCCAACCCCCCTTTCAGCTTTGCAGCAATCTCAGTGTAGAAGTTCTATTTGAAACACCTGCCCGTATGCTGTTAAAGAGCAACAGTTCTGATATACTGGAAAGAAGCCCTAGCGAGCATTCTCTCCTCAAGTGTCTCCCTGCATGGGAGAGATTAAACCCTTAAAAGAGCAAAGCTGGCTTTAGAAGAATGTGGTAGGAGATCTCTATCTGTGTATGAACTTAGGAGATAAGAGTTGGTGAGCAAATGCAGACAAAGAGGCGACCCAGCAGCCATCCCTGAAAGAGCAGCGAAGAACGATTTCTAGATACAGGGTTGGGGTTTTGTGGTAGGTGATTAAGTTGAACACAGAAATCAGCCAGCTCCTTGAGTACCTTACACATACAATGTGTACGTTTAGTCTCCAAAACAAAGAAAAAACCAAAATGGCTAATTCTGGCTGTCCTGAGTCAGCAAAGGAGCTTTTGTATTTTCTACAGACACTTAACGTGCACATCTTGAGGAACTAAAAAAGATTGTTTATGAGATGTTGGCAGAATCAATGCTTGCTATAAACAGCACAGAAACAGACCTTCTAAGTAAAGCAGGTATTTTCCTACAGTTTTATTTTCCTTAAGTGTCTTTTTCTGACTTGCCATTGTTTGTTTACTAGAAAACACCTCTGAGCTTTTTGTAATACATATGAAAACAAACCCTTGCAAAAAGCCAAAGCAACGAAAAAGTTTTCATTTCCTTACGCAAATCCTTAAGTAATTCTCTAAATAAAATCTTTGAGCTCTGCTCCTGTCTCTGGCTCCACCTTCCTTGGCTTTGCATACCCCGTTCCAATTTCCATTGAGGTCAATGCAAAGTCGTCCACTTGCCATACTTCAAAGTTCCAAGAAGAGAGCTACATTATAGGCATAATAATTTCAATTTAGCTGAAGCTAAATGTAATCATTCCTACACGGCATTGAACCCATAGACAAGAAGTGTATAAGCTGTATCACCTACTGTTTGGCCGTGGGAAAGAGGATAATAGCTGGCTTTCTCAACAAGTAAAATAAATCCATAGTTATAAATGTGCATTTACGATTCAGTCGTCTTTTTTAAAGTTTACAAGGTAGTAAACCAGAGTTCCCAGAACTGCCTAAGGATTTTCAAGTGGTAGGAAAGGAAAAAAAAACCTACATTACACATTTGTTCACTCCAAAACAAATTCATTTTTATGTCACTGTGAACACCCAAATAATTTTACTTTCTTTTCCCTGGGAAAGATGACTGACCAAGATGTGAAATACTTGGAAGACTTGCAAGAGGAATTTGACTTCAGGTATAAAACTATACAAAGCTTAGGTAAGAGTTTTTATAATATTTTTTAGATTCTCTAGGAAAAGGTCAATTCTGCAGCTAGAGCCTAGTATGAAATTTTTTGTGTGTGTTACTCAGATAATATATGTAAATATAAAAATGAATTTTTAGTTTATATAAAATTATAGTCTTGGAACATAATGACTCTTCTAGGATTGAGAAGTTAAAGAGGATCTTGTCGAGCAAGTATAGCTCTTTTCTATAGATAAGCTGCATGATGGCATGAAAATTAGTAATTTCATTTGTAAGTTCATTTGAAGAATCTAGTTTTCAATTTCCTCACCTTTGACATGACCCTTGCTTGGCAGGGTGTGGAAGAGCCTCTTATTTCCCAGAGTAGAGTTGTGTAAAAACCCGATTTTTTGAGCCTCTAACTTGGCTTTCTGTTCTTTTTTGACCAGAGTGGTGATAACCAGCTGGTAAGCACTCTGAACGCACGTCTGACCAGCCTATGATGGTTGAGAACTGCACAAGGCAACAGCCTTTGCATGATCTCTTTCAGAAAAGAAACTGAGTTCCACTTGTGTCTGCTCAAATATCTTCCTGTTATCTCCCTTTGAACACGCAAAGATAGTGAGCTTGAAGTGTCCGAGTTCTTGAACACGTCACTCCTATGCGTTTAAGGCTGGATATGGCCAGGCAATCAGAAGTTGTCATGGTTTAATGAGTTGTTAATCATCAGGCCAATCATAATTATTGACCACTGACGCCTGCCCCACTTACAAAATAAAACAAGCTTATAGAAATTACTTTCAGGGCTTAAAATTTCACTGAGTCAATAGATGCTCTGCACCAGCACAGCCAGCTCGCGGTACCCTACGGCACGTGTGAGCAATCACCGTGCCTGAGCTGACAGTCGGGTATTTGTCTGTCTCTACTGGAACATCTACCCTGGCGTCACGGGAAGATGTCGATCAGAGCTTAGCAGCAACACAGCTGGCACCAATTTCTTTTCTGAAGGTAGCATGAAAAACGCAGCAAAAGGTAGGGGAACGGGAGGGCGGGAGGAGAAAGAGCTGCATGCGAAAGGGCATGGAGCAAGCTTGGGGAAGGCTGAAACTAGTGTGTGATGCAGAGAAGGAAAAAGGTTACGGAGAGTGGGACAATATCACAGAACGACAACCAGTGATCGCAATGATACCCAGTGATCAGGACTGCTGGCTGCTGAAGCCCCCACAGCCAGGAACACTTTCTCAGCCAGGCACGTAACTCGCATCAAGTCCGAAGAGCTTTAGCCTAACTGCTGATACCACGAGCCTAGTTCAGTAGCGTAGGGAGCAGTCACTGATCAAGCCACACACGTGTACTACACAAGCATGCCCATGAATAACAAATGGATAGATTTCTAGTCGCCATCCGTATGTTTTCTGCCTTTTGTTGTTCCACATACACATCTAAAGAGTGGAGTCATAAAACTTTCTCTTGAACTTGCACTAAAGTTGCCGCATTCAAATGCAACACACTATTACATAAACTACTGATGCCAGCAGTTTATTTTTGCACCAGTTCATGCTGCAGTCTGGTCGTGGTTTGTTCCCCTCCTCCCCTTCTCAACACACACACACACATTTATGCTGATTTTTTTTTTTCCCTCCCCTGCAGAGCAGAGCGACAAAAACAGCACCCTCATCAAACAGGAAATGTTGGCATTGCAAGCGATGCTCAACACTTTAGACTACAAGAGAAAGGTTAGTGACACTTCTTATCATTTGCGGTTCACTCGCTTTCTCCCCTCCTTCTCACACAGAACGCTCAAATGCGGACGCGTGCCTTTTTTTTTTTTTTCATTCTCCTCTCAGAAGGGCAGGCAAATAACACAGGAGTTAAAAATCCACAAAAGGTTTGGGTGGGCAGGGGTTATTTTGACTAACAGTTAGGAAACGGGCTCAATCAAGTGAGGCGGGGGCATCGCTTCACAGGACCTCTGGGCTAAAGGGGTCATTTAGCTGGCAATCTGTAGCTTTTAAAGTAAATAAAAAGTATTCGAAGTAAACGTAATCTAATAATTGCAAAAAAACCCAACAAAACCCCAACAACACAAGCCCAACAATCCACCAGTGGTACTTTGCTCTGTTCCGCAACTTGCAAATATGACAAATACTTGACGAATTCTTTGCTGGCACAGAAAACAGTACATTTAGGCAATTTGCTTGAGTCCATGTACTTTTTCTATTTGAAAGCAAACAAGCAAAAACCCAAAGCACTGGATATGAGGCAAAACAAAAAGAGAACTTTTTGACCTTAACAGTGCTTACAAGTGTCATCTCCTTGGAGGTGTCATGCCCACAAAGAAAGCAACAACCCTCCCTCCCACAAAAAAAAAAAGCAGGTTTACTGAGAAACAGTTCATAGAGATTCAAGATTAATTTCAAGTACAACGGGTGATGAATCCAGTCACCTCTTGAGTTAGAGAGACTGCAGTGGGAGGGACTACTTTCAGAATAATTGGGGGGTGGGGGCGTAATCAGCGGGTTTTGATAATTGCCAAATTTTGTGGCTTTCCTATTTCGACAGGAGGTACTCAGTAAAATAGGGCGCGTGATTCATGAAATCGATATGCTCATGAGCAACATGCTGACCGAAGAGCTGCTGGACTGGAAGAGGCGGCAGCAGATTGCCTGCATCGGGGGTCCTCTCCACGGGGGGCTCGATCAACTCCAGAACTGGTAAACTTGTCTTGAGCTTGGGTTTCCACCGAAAAACCACAGGAAGTCTTGTGCACACGAAACGATCGTCCCTTTAGATGAGTTGCCTTGTTGCCTCGCAGCAGCAAATTCATGAGCGGCTGAGCAAGTTAAATAACTCTAAATACACCTCGTCTCGGTGGATGACATTTGCTGCTCAGAATTAACAACGTTACAGCGAATTGCTGAGCCTGAGCCCCAGCACTCACTCATTTTTGGGTTTGGGAGTTGTGCCACGTACACGACACATACCCTCTGGGGAGTTTTGTTTGAGTAAGAACTGTGCTGACTGAGTTTGTCACCGAGGATGGTGGGAGTTTGGTCTAGGCAGGAGATGGGTTGAGACTTTATGCTTTGACTCAGTAGGTGCATCACTCCTCCAGACCTTCAGACTACACAGGAACTGACAGGCAGCAGTCTCTGTGGTCTCGGAACGTGATAGTAAATAAAGAAAATAGCATTATAGGTAAAAAAAGATAACACAGCCAGAGAATGACACTTCTCTCCCATCAAACTTCTGGAAAAGGTGAACTAAAAAGTAAGAAGAAGAAAGAAAGGAAAACAATCACTAATCTTAGGTTTAAAGAAAAAAAATTTTTTCCTTTTTTCTGTTGTTTTTTTTCCATTGAAGCTTTTTTTTTCCCTAATCAAGACGGTAAAAGTAACTTAAAAAATTTATTTTTACACATGCCTACACTATTTAAGTCTTAGCAAATGGATCTGGATTTGATTTTCCTTCTTGTTTTTACACTTCCTCAGCCTTGGTGACTTGCACATTTCATATAAATGTTATCCTTTTAAGGCATACGTCTTGCAAAACTACTGAGCTGTAGAAAAGAATTAAAATTGGCCCAAGTGCCCTGCATGTAAAACGTCAGGACCACGTATATATTTCTTCCAAATCATCACAGAGAGTGTTGCACTGCTGTTGATGAGGCCTGTTGTGTAAATATTCATCTTTGAAAATAAAATAGGTAATTTGTCTGATAGATTTATGTACTCCGGCAAACAAAGGATGAACAGACGTGACAAGTGACAAGCGACAGGACAAGAGGACATGGGCTCAGGTTGCACCAGGGGAGGTTTAGATTGGATAGTAGGAAACGTTTCTTTACTGAAAAAGTGGCGAGGCACTGGAACAGGCTGCTCAGGGCAGTGGTGGAGTCCTCATCCCTGGAGGTGTTCAAAAAACATGCAGACGTGGCACTTCAGGACATGGGTTGATGGTTGGACTTGATGATCTTAGAGGTCTTTTCCAACCTTAATGATTCTATGAGTTTGGATGAAGCTAGAAAGCACCAACTGGCACCAATTCTGATTTCCCTAAGCAAGAACTTCCATAGCCATTATCTTCTCAAGGAATGGTTTCCGCGCAAGATTGCAAACTAATCTTTCCTCTTGCTCTAGTTTCACGCTGTTGGCAGAGAGCCTCTTTCAAGTTAGAAGGCAACTAGAAAAACTGGACGAACTGTTGACCCGACTGACGTACGATGGGGACCCTATCCCAGTGCAAAGACCTCAGCTGCTGGAAAAAGTCAACTTTCTGCTCTACAATCTTTTCCGCAAGTGCGTAAGCCAGGAGCACCGTACGTAACTTTACCTGAACTGACACAAATTTATTGGCAGCAATGAGATTGTATTAAGAAGAAAAATAATGAGGGGGGGGGAAGTTGAGTGTCTGAGGATCTTAAAGACCAAGTTTCCAATGAAAAAATTATGTAGAGCTGTCATCAAAACTCCTAGAAGCTCAAGGGGCCAGGCAGGAGTTAAAAGTTCCTGATCAAGTTCTAACCCTAAGCGAACCCGCAAAATCCACTTGTTTCGGTAGGAATTATGCGTATACCACCAACAAAAGTTGTGTTGTTTTCTGTTTAAGTGGCAGGTGCTAATTTATTCCCTGTCTTCTCCTCATCCCCAGTTCACCCGTCTGTTAATAGACAAAATACTGTCATCGTTCCCCTTGCCTTTTGTACTGGTCTATACTGGAGCAAAGCCACAAGTGACTCTGAAAGCAAAACACAGTCAGTTGGGGAGATTTATAAGAAATGAAAAAAGATCAAATGATTGTTTAATTTCATTGGAGCCAGGCTCAGTGTATTCTCCTACTCTGTTTTATGGTCTGGATGAAAATCTCGGCCTTCCAGACTTTTATCAGCCTGGTATTTTAGGACTGCTGACTTTGTTTTGATTTTTAATGTATTCAAAATACCTGTTTCTTATGGGAACAGTTCAACTCTAAGTTAGACCACTGGATCATTTTGAGAACTGAAAGTTGGAATACGTACCTCCCACTTCAGCATCTGCAGAAAAATAAGTCTCTACGAGATACCAGCACTCTTTCTTTTTCCCCCCAATTCAGCTGTTTTATTACGCATATTCCTAACTGAAACTTGTTTCACTTCACACAGTTCATTCGTGGTTGAAAGGCAGCCCTGCATGCCAACACATCCCCAGAGACCCATGGTTCTTAAAACATTAATCCAGTTCACTGTTAAATTAAGGTAAGAAAAGGAAATCTGATACGACCTCCTTCATTTGCGTACTGCATTTTATCCTAGGAGCATCTAGAAAGCAAAGCAGACTAACTTGTGTAACAGATCCTTTTGACTCCAGGGAGAATTTCTGGAATGGGGATATAAAGGCCACAGAATCTGTCACTAATAAGTGACACGGAATAAGTGGCAATAAAATCAGCATGAGGAAAAAAAGCAGATTGTGGCCAGCACCTCCGGGGTTCTGCACGCATTGAATTCTTGTTTTAATGACTTTGCAAATTGACTGTAAAACATGGTATGTAATAGTACATCTTACAAGCCAGCATCGGAATACTCGGGGCTACTTTTGCACGCAGCCAAGAGAAACTCCCTAGGAGGGCTGTGGTGAATCAATGACAAGTGATTTCTCTCCCAGTAGCTCCCTGCCTGACTTTGTGAAAAGAGCAAAGATTCGGGAGGAGCTCTCATCTCATTTCCACCTCACAGCAAAAAGAGTGCACGGAGGGCTGCAGGCTCTGCAAATGGCACACGAAGGGAAGTACACACACAGCGACGGTGCACTCAGAGGTTCTACACATCAGTCTCTTGTTACTTCTTTGTCTCTCTCTAGCCATTCCTGCAACTAACTTCAACACATCCTCGAAGGGAGGGTGGAACAGCCCAGCTCCTCTTTCTCAGTATCCAGCCCTGTAAAATGCAATACAACCCTAGGTCCCCAATCTGTTTTCAAATACTTGAGCGTGGAGCTACTTCTGTTTGTTTTCTGGCGAGAAATTCATTCTGTTAACATTCACTTTTACCTTTTCTGTTTTGAAGGTTGCTAATTAAATTGCCAGAGCTGAACTATCAGATCAGAGTGAAAGCAACTATTGACAAGTAAGAAACTTTAAAGTGAAGATATGTTCTCTCTCCCTACAGAGACAACGCAGGTTTTTCAATTGCTATCCTATCTGATTTACAAGCTGCTCTAAAAAAGAAAACAAAAAAAAACCCCAGAGTTGAAACATCAGAGTAATGTATTTTTTAAATGTAGATCTCTTTGTGTTTTTTAAAAAAAATCAAAAAATAGCTGCTGTGTCTAATCATTATTTTCAAATTGGAGGCAAGGAGTCCATTTCAGATTTGTTTCAAGACTTAAGATAACGCTCATCAGGTTGAAATAGTAGCATCACACAAAAACTTTAAATTAAACTGTACTGCATTTAGGGGACGGTTATCTTTGAAATACCACTTATCTCTGCTTGTGGTAATAGGCCCAGTACCTTCGACGCAGCTGCTCCAAGTAGTACATAAAGCTTGTGCTTGAAAAGCTAGTGCTGGAATTAGTAATTACGGCAACTCACAGACTTCTACCCTCACCACTACATAAACTCCTTTCTAAGGTGTTTGCCTCTCCTTCGAGCTACCATTATTCCTCACAGCAGTCCCAAATGAACAGCATCCCTGGTTTCTTTGGTCGAAACCAAAGGTTTAAAAACTGCAGTTGTACTGGTAACACGAATTCAACTTTGATAAGGCACATTTTACCCCCTCAAGATGTTTCTCAGTACAAGTTACGGCTTCCACGCTTACTGATTCACATCTGTTTCCTCCCCCCCGGCCCCTCTTCTATTTTAGGAACGTTTCAACCGTAAGGTAAGGAAACAAAATACCATATTTCTTCAGTTATCCAGTAGGACAGTATTTGAGTGTGTAAATGTCACGTCCTCCATAGTAATCGCAGATTCGTTCTGTGTGGAACACACGTGAAAGCAATGAACATGGACGAATCTGCAAACGGAAGCTTGTCGGTAGAATTTCGACATTTGGTAAGTTTGAACCGCTTTTTTCCTATCATGTACCTCTGGGAAAAGCATACAAGATTGTTGTTTAAAAATTATGCAGGGAGAATTGTATTACTGTCAATTCCACGCTATTTTTTTTTCCGTGTAAGGAAATTTTACTCCTAGAACCTCTTTATCCCATATCCCATTCCATACTCTACACCCATACCATAATATAAGACAATGTATCTTCACAGAAATGACCGAGCAAATTCTAATTAATGCCAGAAAAGGAAAAGACTAACCATGCTGAATTATACAGCTTTTCAGAGTTCTGTTAATTGAAAAAAAAAAACCCCACAAAAAAACCCAAACGACATCACTGTTTTCAAATAACTGAGTGGTTTAGGTCTGGTTGAAATTAATGCTTGTGAGAATTGTCTTTTGAGAGACTATAGCATGGCTTCTGTAACTTCTCTAATATCCCAGGGAGTCACGCTTTCTGACTAGACTCCCTCACTTACGGTAAATTTTTTTTTTGGCTTAACTAACGATGCAGTGCATCAGTGTAGTTTTGCAAAAAAGCTGGAGATTGATGGGTTTTAGTGGTTTTTTTGTATTACACACTTTGCACGCATCCCAGTTAGCACTTTGTTACACGAACTTAGCTTCTTTAAAAAATTCTTTGAAAATACCAAAATACTATTCAACTGAACGGTTTTCAAGGCAGCACATGTGTATATTGTAAGTATCCTAAACCCATCATGACTGCAAACTATGTTCTTTATACGTACGTTTGTCTACAGTTTCTTTGGCACATAAATACTGTCTTGCTTTATACAGCAACCCAAAGAAATGAAATCAAGTGCTGGAAGCAAAGGAAACGAGGTTTGTGCATTTATTTTGCGTGTTATTTTTTGATTACTCTCAGAAGTATTTCCGAGTGGATTTTACTTAAACGTTAATATCCGATAGATTTTGAAATATATGTTACCCTTATAATAAATATAGGACCCAATGTCTGCATGATTGTGTAATGAGAAATTTTCAGAACTGCTCCTAGAAATTTTAATTACTTGCCTTAAATTTGTGTATTATAAAAGTTAGAAGGTAGGAAGCAATAATCCAAATGCAAGCACTCCTCTTTCGTCGTTTCCGTTTAATAAAAAAATAAGCTTTATCTAGATTTTTCTTGAAACAATTTGTCCTGTAGGAAAGGTTCTTTACATATATATTCTGTCGGTCAAGTTTAGAGCTGAAGCAAGGGTATATCTTTGCATCAAAGAAGTTCGCTTGCCTCAAGCAGGACCAGAAGCTGCTGCTTCGACACCACAAGCCTGCTTGGTTTGCCAACACTCACTCGAATCCGGTCGTGGGTTCCCCTCTTGTGGTGACACTGCACTATGACACCTCAGCCCTAACAAAACCGTCACACATGCACACCCCACCTGACACCTACGGTGTAAAGGCGTCTCTGCCCTACCCTTCTCAGCTCTCTGGCTTCCTTACACCACCGTTCTCCCGAGTGTCGCGGCCAAAAGTCGGATTTATGGGCAAGAATGTTGCTGCCTTCATGGATTTAGCGTCTGCATCGGTGGCAGGAGGGGAAGGCAGGGTGTCCTCAGCCAGCAACTCAAGGCGTTAGGCGGGGAGGGTAAAGGCACCGCTACACACAGACTCCAGAGTAACACAGACTGTAGAATCATGGAATGATTTGGGTTGGAAGGCACCTCAAAGATCATCTAATTCCAACCCCCCTGCCATGGCGGGGACATCTCCCACTAGATCAGGTTGCTCAAGGCTCCATCCAGCCTGGCCTTGAACACCTCCAGGGATGGAGCATCCACAGCCCCCCCTGGGCAACCTGGGCCAGTGTCTCAGCACCCGCAGGGTAAAGAACTGAAGAATCATTAAGGTTGGAAAACATCTCTAAGGTCATCAAGTCCAACCGTCAGGGCAATACTACCGGGCCTACTCAATTATATTCTGTAGTGCCACATCCATCACCGTAAATTCAGCATTAACCATTCTGCAGTAAAAATCTGCAGGGAAATCTGACTGAAGCAGGAGCCAGAAGCTTGCAGTGAGTGATACAGCCTCTGCCGACGCTACCGGAATAATTAGTGTTTCCCAACATAACTGAAGTCATAAGATGCTTCTATGAATGCCTCTGCTTACCTGGGATGTGGAGTAGCCTCTATTGGTTTAAAGGTATCTCCACACCGGTGTAACTTTTTGCACAGCGGAAGCTCCAAGGATAATGTTCTACTGGCAAATTTAATAAATAAAATCTCTCGTGGCCCAAGCCCGAACAGACGTAGTTACCCAAGCACAGAAATTATGACCAGCGGTCTTTAAGTACAAAGCAAAGCTGGGATCAGCACGGAGAATTTTAACCAACCACCTAAAGCAGAAGATTGTGTTAGAAACACACCTCTGAAGGGAATAATTTGCAACCTGATTAGCAAGACTGGAACTCAAGGCTCACCCCCCGGTTACTTTGCTCCTTACAAAGTCATTTGCGTCGAGACAAGCCAATGCAAAACCAGAGGTGTGCAAATGTTGGCGCGCCACTTTTGGGGGCATTTTACTCCCACTTTCACGTGTTGTGCCTTTACACAGAGCATAGAGCTGCGGAGAATTGGAGGAGCTAGGCTGTGACGTGGTTCACGGCCAGTTTCCTCAAACTGCTGCTGCTTGGTCAAATCACAGTCTGTGAAGTCATTATTAGCACAAACAAGTTGGATTTGGTTTGGGGGGTTTTGTGTTTGTTTCTTAACAGCAACTATACTAATTGAAAAACTTGGTTAGAGTACGTTTTGTCATCTGATAGTGTAGTTGTTAAGTATGACTTGTTTCATATAAAAAAAAAAAAGGAAGTTGTTTGTATTTGAGATTTGCCCTTTCATGTAGATAGGGCTTTTTGCCTAGATGATTTTTCCATCAGAAAAGTTTAAGTTTCTGTAAAATCGTAACAGGGGAGAGGGAGAAGGGGAGTTTCACCAACCTTTTTCAACTTTGCATCAGGCTGAGCTGGATTTATTCTACTTGTATTAAAACATTTGAGTTCATTCAGTGCGTGAATACTTCATGTCAAAACCTTCAGCTCTAAGCTGGATTTTCCCTTTGCAAGAGAGATTTATTATTCATATGCCTGAGAATCTCCCATGGCCTCAAAACAAAATATTTATTACAAACTTGAACCAAATACTTTTTTTCCATCCAAGAAAAGCTGGAGTTCTAATACCAAATTTACTTTGGATTCATTTGAGGCCTCTTCTTCAACAAGTACAAACCAAGTACAATTACAACAAACTTGTGTTCCTGCGTGAGAGCCTGCTTGGCATTAAAGCTGTGACTTTTTGTTTCTAGTTTGTTTGTCCTTGAAGTTTAACATCTCTGTTTTAACTGGAATTGTCAATCCATAACAGAACTTTGGGCAAAGGGGGAGACAACCTTTATCAGACATACAGAAAAACCCAAACTGTTAACTTTTCATGAGCAAATCTGTACTTAAAAGCACCATTTCAGAAAAAGTTAAAAGCAAAAGTTAAAAGGTTTAAAGTATTGCTTTTACAAAATATTTTAGATTCATGAGATAAAAAAACACCTGACTTGTGGACTAATTTAATGTCAGTGTGTAACAAAAATTTCCCTTGCTTCCTTCTTGTCCTGCTGTGCTTAAATATTTGATAGGCGTTCCCTTCCCAAATTGTTTAATTGCAGTCGGATCACTAAAAGAAAGTTAAGACAGACAACCTGCTTCCTCCCACAGGGCCCTCACATGGTGACTGAGGAACTGCACTCCATCAGCTTCGAAACACAGGTCTGCCTCTACGGATTGACCATAAATTTGGAAGTGAGTATTCTAAGCCAGATTTTCAGGGGCAAGAATAAAAAGCATCTTCCAACAGCTTGTAGAAGAACGACCACCATGCTGGGCCAGACCACAGGTCCGGCTATCCCAGATGCTCTCCTTAGTAATAACCAGAAGCAGACACAAAAGCTCCAGAACTTCTGGGCAGAAGCTTTTGGATGGAAGAAGGGGCTAAAAAACCCTAAACAAGCAAAAAAAAGTGAACCGCGACACAGCGCTGAGACTTTTCCAGGCAGAATTTACATCCCACATTCGTTCTTTCCACCAGACCAGCTCTTTGCCTGTGGTGATGATTTCCAACGTGAGCCAACTACCCAACGCGTGGGCTTCTATTATTTGGTACAACCTGTCAACCAACGATCCTCAGGTAGGTCATCAGTACGCAAGGTCCGACTTTCTGCATTTCCACATTTCTGTAACTTGGTTACCAAATATAATCATTACAAAGATATTCATTCCCCCTTAAACTGGCCTCGTTTTCTTAGCATACGCGGTTATCAACATTATATTTTACCATTCCCTTTATCTTTTGTTCCCTGTCCAGATTAAAAAAAAAAAAGCACACATTTAACCTTCCTTTTTGGAGGCTAAAACAGTCGTTGCCACCCTAAGGAAGGGTGATAACCCCCTCCACAACTTTTCTAGTTCGAATTTTTCTTCTTTTGGATGCGATTGACCAAAAGTGTAAATAGGTTAAAAATAATTCTACTGGTACAACCCCAAACTGCCAAAGCAGGTGTATAGGTGGGTCTGTAACGTGCTTATGTGCTGCTTTCCCTCGTGCGTTTTATAGGAGCTGGTGCTTTCTGTTGAGAAGTTTTAAATGCTAAACGACACCTTTTGATGGCTCTAACCGTGAACAAAAGCAGCAGAATTCTTTCCCAGGCTGCAGCCGGCTCAGCACATATTTTAGATTGAGTGTGTTACCGTATTTGCAGATTGTAGAATAGTGCTGTCGAGCTTTCAGTCGGGGATAAGCGACAGTCACGCTGACATTTGGAAGAGAGAAGGAGTGAGACTTGGACCCCGGAGCGCACCTAACAAGGATGGCAGGCCAGCTGACCAGCAGCCTGGCCCTCGTGCTCGCTCTACGATACTCCAAAGAGCTTTTGCACGGTCTGCAGAACGTTCCGTACGTGCACAGTCCAGAAACCAAACAAAAAACTAAGATGAGCCAGACGATTGAACAAGCGCTATATGAGCATGCAACAGTTTACAATTGCCGTGCGCCAGACGGATTAAAGTATAGCCAGACTATCTGCATTTACTGGGCAGCACTTGAGCGTATTTTTGCTGTCAGAAGCACAGCAAGGTATTTTTATCATCCACGAGGCACACACGGACTCTTGCTCTCCCTAAGCGTCTTACCCTACAACTCCACCAGAGAGGACCCTGCTGGGCTGGGAGGGCCAGCACGTATTTGCCCCAACGTACCCCCCCTCTCCATTTCTAACACTTCCAGATTCTGCCCAAGCACTTGCAGCGCTGCAGCGTAATTCATGGCTGCGAACTGTCTAACCAAAGCACTAATTCTGTTGCAGAATTTGTCTTTCTTCAACAATCCCCCTGCAGCCACTTTAAGCCAGCTCTTAGAAGTACTGAGCTGGCAATTTTCATCTTACGTCGGTCGTGGACTCAATTCTGAGCAGCTCAGCATGCTGGCAGAGAAGCTGATGGGTAAGCATGTAGAAATATACAGATTTTATTTGCTTTTTCTTATACTTGATAGTTACAGGTAATGACTTTAAGCATGACCTCCACTTCCAGAGCTGACTTCAAAAATGCTGCAATGACTTTTTTTTTCTTTAAAGAAAAGCACGTGTCAGCTTATTCTTACCACAAAGTGATTCAACTTCTGAACTTCCAGGCTGCGAAACTGAAGAAAGAGGGCATCAGAGTCACACTGAACCATGATATTTTGTTTGCTTAGCAAGTAATTATCTCACGCATCTGAAATCAAAAGGAAGTCTTTTTGCTTGCGTATGGGGTTTGGTTTGGGTTTTGTTTCAAGTACCCGTCCTTGTGGGTCTGCTTAGTTCTGGGACCCATCCGTCACCGGTGACGCGTAGCAGAGAGACCCCGTAACTTCGGCGAGATGAACTATTGAACACTTCGATCTGACGGTCCCCCAGAAGGGGGAAAGCTGGCAGAAGAAAACAAAGATTTCTGTTTGCAAAGAAGAAACAATTATAAAATATATTGTGAGCCGTAAGAAATTCTGAGCAGAGGATACTTCTGCTGTTGGACAAGAATAGAAGCATTTGTCGAAGACTGGGGGAAATCTCTACTTCTATTCCTTTCTGAGCTGGGAAGCAAAGACTGATTTCCCAGGGTAACAAGTCACCTCTTCTTGGAAATTCCTTGTTAAGTGGAGGTGGTAGAGTTGAGAGGTGACGTTGTAAATC